ACACACACACACACACACACACACACACACACACACTTTCTAAAGTTTCCTTCCTGTTTGCAGTTAACAAACACAAAGTGAAACCACGGGCACGCATATATCTAAACCGAAGAAGACTTCCTCTTTTGGCCTCACTTGTCAGCAGAAATCCACTTTGACAAAGACGCATTCGAGGCTGTAAACTTCACTGTTATCCTGGTCGATACTATTTTGGTTCCTCTTTTCCGTTTTAACTGTGATAATGAATGTGCCTGGTGAGGTATTCAGCAGACACGGGGATCTGTTATTCTCATTTCCAGCTCAGTTTTATTATTGAATTCTTTTAGAATAGCGTTTCATGATTCACAGATCTGAACAATTCTTATTTATCTTATGCTGGACCTTCATGCTGCTTCTCCGTTCATCCTCCGACTGAGATGAGCAGTTTTAGCTCCTCCCTTTTTTTTAGTCAACGTTGTGATAAGAAGTATTGATCACGTCACCCAATTGTTTAAGTAAATATAATCCTAAAGGTGCTGGTGACGTGAAATTCTCACCACATGTCAGTAACAACCCACGCAAAGAAATCAAAGCATAGATGTCCATAAATTATGTATAATAATGAAAAGTGACATTACTCTCTGTTTATTTGAATCAAGCTGTATCAAAGTCTTAATTACACAGATCGATATATTTCTGGTGTGACGATGTCGTGGCTAACGAGGTATTTCACGTCTGCAGGCCCACAGAACTCTCTACAGCCAAGCCAACATGGAAACACGTTACTTTGTGAAAAAGAAAACACTGCTGGCTCTCAGTAAGCTGACCGCACTCGCGTCTGACCTGCCGGAGGACCAGCTCTCCAAACAAATTGACGGTAAAAAAGCGCACACATCGCTGTATGCATACAGACCTCCCTGCACCTCATAAACTTCGTTATCCGTGAAATTTTACTGAATCGAACCAGCATTTAGATCATTTTATTCACACAGATTCTTAGATTGTCAGTGGATAAAAGTTACTTAGCTGCCACAACAGTGGTTGCCTCGATCTCATAGTAATTCAGAGAATAGTTCAGAGTTAAACTCATTCATCTTTTTCTTAGTAATGAAAGTCTTTAAGGGCATGATAAAATCGACATATAAAGCTACATATATTTGTGGAGTGGCAGGCGCTTTGTAATATGTCGTGTAAGTAGACTTGACACTGTCATTCATCTGCCAATCAGACATTGTGGAGCAGGAGCGCTTCCTGCTGCATCAGGAGACTCTGCCTCGACAGCTGCTGGAGGAGAAGCAGCAGAACCCCGACACCATGCCTCTGCTCAGTGCTCACAACCTCATACAGGTGAAAACACGTGCAAAAACTGCTTGTTAACTTAGGTACAATATTTAAACAAGATCATTTCAGTTGCTTAAATGTGTTTTTATGGTAACTGTGTAAATTGGTGTCTGCTGTTCCAAATAAAGAACCTGTTATTGGATGGATTAGTGAAAGTAGATAAAAGTAGTATAGAAGGACCTCACCTGAGGACAAAGTGATAATCATAGGTATGCAGAAAAGATCAGATCACATTTAGAGAAGGTCAGAAGAAAATGATTCAAACACTGAGACTGAACAGCTTCGGTGCATTTCCTTTTTAACTCTCGTCCTCTCCAGCTGTACATCTGTGATGACAACAGGCGAGCCAACGAGTACGATTTCAAAAAGGCTCTGGACCTGCTGGAGTACATCGATGAGGTAGCCACTAGCGTTTTTTTACAGCACTGGTGCATTTGAGGCTCAGTTAGTCGGTCTCTCAACTTTAGCAAGTTTAGCGGTTTTCTTGCTTTTCTGTTGTAGGACGATGCTGTGGACATCGACGCACTCAAATGTGAGATTTTCGGCAAAGCACTTAGGAGAGACGAGTAAGACCCATCATTGTTTTTTGTATACATTCAACTGGGACTTTGCTTAAATTAAAACTTTTTCTCCTGGTATTTCTCTAATAACATGTAAATAGTTTTCTAGTAGTGAGTAACCTATGATTAGCTGAATATACG